GAGGGGCGGGTGGGTGGGTTGGGGGGGGGGGTACCAGGTGCAAAGCAGAAACATTTAACAGACAAAAAAGGTAAAGTTCTCTGTTTAAAGAAATGCATTGTATATATCACGTGGAGTCATTATACAAAGTGTGAAATTAATCTGAAAGTAATAACAATAAAAATGTTAAAAGATGGGAAACATAATAAAGCCCTTATTCCGTGCTCTATAACCAACACTACCACCTCATTCTAATCATACGTAACTTGGAAAAACTGGAGAGTCGCTGAAAAGTAGACCTCCTCAGGGATGAGAACTAAGATTGGAGCATCTTTCTCCCAAAAGAATAATTTCTCAGAACAATCTTGAGGGTGCAGCGGGGGCCTGAGTCAGTATCTGCACCATCATTCTGCCTGCACAGACTGTGCTTAGCCAGGGAGGACTGGTCTGCTTTCCGACCTGAGCCCCTGCTCTCCTAATACCCCTAATGCCCCTGGCCACCGCCGTCCTTGCTAGAAGCATCTGCAGATGCTGTGACAGATCTCTCTCTTGGGGCGGTCACTGTGGATCGCGATTAACCCCCTTGCTGTGGACTCCCCACTCTTGCTGCTTCCAGCTGCCACTGACCCCTGAACCCTTGAAAATGACCAACATCAGGGCCCCGTGCATTCGGCTGCAGAGCAGGGGCCATCGGGCTGTGCTGGGGGCCAGCAGCTGGGCCGTGTATTTGCGTGCAGCCTTCTGCAACCCAGAGCAGGCCTCCATCGACACCTCACTCGTTCAAAGTTATTTCATCCCAACAACATGTCCTTACTCCCGTTCCTTCTCAACTTCCTTTCATTTGGCCCACCAGACATCTGGTGCCCACTGCAGAAAACATACCCACCTGAGATGAGTTTGCCTTTAGGCCAGGTGTGCTCGTTTTCCCCAGTGAGCCTGTCTGAGGCTACACCATGCCTGCACCTGGAGAACCAGATCCCTGGGAAAGCCTGTAGAGGAGGCCCACGTGCTCTGCATCCCTCTCTGGGGCTTTCAGCACAGTGACTCTGCTGTCCCTTAAGGTGTGTTTCCATTTTACCTCCCAGCTGCTCTGTCTGAGACATTTGGAGGGTCAGGATAGAACCTTTGATGAAGTCTCAAGAATTCCTGATAAAAATGAAAACCTGCAGTAACTCCAGTTATGTTGTTTATCTCACAGCCTAAGACATCAAGAAATAATATTTGTGGGATAGGATGGCAATGCTCACTAGAAGCAGAAAGAGACCAAAGCTGGCCAGAGGTGGTCCCCTCCCAGCTTACCGCCGGTACAATGGGTCACCTCTAAACACGTGGACTCCCACTTTCCCAGGTGGAGTCCCCTGACTCCTCAAAAGAAGGTGAAATCCAACTCAAAGGACCAGGAAGAAAGTAGCCTCTAAGTTCCACACGTGCTTATGTACAATGCCTACTGAGGTCCAAAGACATGTTCCCCCATCATCTCCGCCGAGTCTGTGGCAGGGCTTCAGGTGTCACCCTCCTTTCCAGGTGGGGGTGCAAGCCTGGGAGGGCAGCCTTGGTCCTAACCAGACTTGGGTTTCAACCACAGCATCTGGGTTTCATTCTTTTCCCCAGAATCCTCCCTAACCAAGAAAATATCTTTCTCCACTGCCTCTGACGCCTGTAAAGGGGTGCCTTGTTCTGGTGAGTGTAACTCAGCTGGAATCAGTGTCTCACTTCTCTAGAGATGGGTGTCAGAATTGGAAGCATGTTTGGAGATCACCCCAAGGTCTCACGTGCCCCAAAATACTAGGGTACTTGCCACGTGTCCAGAAGGTGGTGGTGGGGTGTCAGACATACATGATCACTGACACAGTCTTGCGAGAAAAACGCCTTTCGTCTGCGGCACCAAAGGCACTGTACTTCCTGATCTCTGCCCTGCGGTGTCACAGTGAGGTAGGCCGCAGCCTGTTTTGTGGATGGAGAAAGAGAGGCAGAGGGAGGAACACCATATTCCTCCCTACCAGTCGCCTTCACTATCCAACCCCCCGGCGGTGACTTGCTTTTGCCAGCACTTCTTACCGTTTTACAGGGAACTCTAGGAAAAAAAAAAAAAGAAAGAAAGAAAACTTTC